TTAATTTTGACCCAAATGCTCTCACTTTGGCTTTGAGGTTCTAAATCTTGGATCTCTTCACAGGTATACACATCCCTGACATATAACGCCACTCCTCCTCCTTTCTTGTCTGGTCTGTTTCTCTGAAATAGATTGTATCCCCCATTATTACATTCCAATCGTGGGACTTATCCCACCAGGTTTCAGTGATGCCTATTATGTCATATTTAGTTTGCTGTACCAAGAGCTCAAGCTCATCTTGTTTATTTCCCATGCTTTGCGCATTAGTGTACAGACATTGAAGTCCATTAATCATTCCCCGTGTCTCTTATTTATGGATTTTTACTCCCACCACTAGGTCTGCGTGCTGTTTGCTCCATTTGGTCTATGACATTTGGATGATCATCTTCATCAATTGATAGACTCCTACCTTCAGGAGCACTGTCTCCCTCCCCACATTAGTCAGTTTAAAGCCCTCCTGATGAGGTTTCTGAGATTTTTGGCAAAAACATTTCTCCCAACCGTTGTGAGGTGCAGCCCATCGCTTGCCAGAAGTCCATCTTCAAGAAACTGCAGTCCGTGATCTAAGAATCCAAACCGTTCCTGTTTACACCATTTGCGAAGCCAGCTGTTCACTTCCACTATTTTCCCCTCTCTCCTGGGCCACGTCGTTCAACTGGGAGGACAGATGAGATGACAATTTGTGCATTTAATTGCTTCAATTTCCTGCCCAGAGCCTCGTAGTCTCTTTTGATCTTCTGGAGGCTATTGCTTGCAGTGTCATTGGTTCCCACATGAACCAAGAGGAAGGGGTATTTGTCAGTGGGTTTTATGATTCCTTGCAGTCGTTCAGTTACATCTTGGATCTTAGCCCCGGGGAGACAGCACACTTCCCGAGACATCTTGTCAGGATGTTTATTCATCACAGAGCTACAATTCCATGCACTCCTAAACTGTGGGATAAATCAGCCTCATAAAACCAACATGCTTAACTCTTATTGATGCATGAAGAGGTTAAGGCTATAGAGTAAGCTGTCTTGCCAGGCTTAGCTAGGTCATAGCCCCTCACCTTGGGAGAAAGGGCTACCAGACTCTTTGTTCTCTCACTTCAACCATGCAAAGCCTACCAATAAGGAAGTGTAAGCTGGGTGCTCCAGGCTTTGACCACATGACTTAAGCAAACCATCTTTGTGCTTCTATACACATAATTTACAAACGCTTTCTGTTTTGGAACCTAATTTATACTGCCTGTCTTTTCTTGCTGCTGTATGGATATGCACATGAACCTGACCTTTGAAGAGTTTGTAAGTAAACCAGTTTTAACTTCCCAAACGTGTGGTCTCCTTTTATGCTAAGGAAAGTGAGGAACTTTGGAAGCAACTTAGAAGGGGATATTTTAAAGGTCCAACAGCTTATATTTCTACGCTTTACTTTGCTGCATGTTTTGTGATTTTAAATCTCTGCTGGGGTTCTCTAACCAAAGAGTACTTGCCCCAAACCTGGATCTAGGCACCCAGGGAATTCTGCTTTTGTTCTTGAACCATATTAACCAACATAAATTACAATCCTCAGGATTCTTTGAAGGAGTTAAAGAGCTTTAAACATATGGTTTGCAAGGCCAGGGAAAGCCAATGGTAGATTTTGTCCAGGGTGCAGAGCACCCTGGGGTGGGTAGTTTTGTTGGGGCTGTGGTACTTGGGGTGGTGGTTGGGAATACTCTGGATAGCTCAGTCGGTAAATCATGAGACTCTTAATCTCAGGGTTGTGGGTTCAAGCCCCATGTTAGGCAAAAGATTCTTGCATTGCAGGGGGTTGGACTAGATGACCCTTGTGGTCCCTTCCAGCTCTACCATTATATGAGTCTATGATTCTCATGTGCTGAAGACTGGATCATGCCCCTCCTTGAAAGTTTGTGTCCTTCTTCCAGCCATTCTGCTCCTCTCAGGAGGGCCCAATCCACAATTTGAGTGTCATGGGACCTATCACTATCTCAGGGCAATTACAGATTTATTGAGAATGACCCCATCTGGAAGATGTAGCAAGGAAGCTCTGTGTTTCCTTGGAGATAAAAAAATTGTTTCTGGGGGTCTTTCTCTCCATGACTTCCTACCCATCACCTCTGGATTTTGGACTTATGCAGATGTTATGATGACTGAATGGGGTGTTTACCCAAATGACGGAAAGAGAGAGAGAAAGAGAGAGAGAGAGAAAGAAAGAAAGAGAAAGAGAAAGAGAAAAAGAAAAAGAAAGATGTGGGTGTTTGCTTCTTTTGGCTTTGTATATTGAATATAAGAGCCGTATCAGAACGTACATTCAATTGAAAAATGACTTGCACACCTCCTGTTTTCTTGATCAATGATGGGAGCCGACTGTGAAGAGACCAAATGGTGTTGTTGGAGTAACTTGTGAAAACATAACTTATTCGGAGAATCTTTGGGTGAAAATGCTGACTTCTTACTGAAACTTTCCCCCCTTTCATCATCCCCAACCAAACGTACTGCATCCACCATGGCCAACCAAAATAAGTTTGAAAGAAATAAAAGGCCTGTTGTTGCTTCCAGAAGACTCAAGAAACATATGCACTATATATTTCAAATTTAACACTGCTATTTTAACGCATGTGAAACTACACATTCTCTGTGCCTATTTTATGGTTCCATTTTTCATCTTTTAATTTTCGTCTGGTGTTATAATTGTTCTCTCTGTTTTATATACATTATAAAATGAAACAACAACATCAACAACAAACAACTTTTATTATTTATTATTGGTTTTAATAATAATAAAAAACCAAAATGACCACAAGATACTGATTGGCTGGGGTGGGGTGGGGAGAGGGAGAACAGAAAACATGGGATGGAATGAAAATGGAATGAAGTGGCTGCTGGACCCCAATACCTCAAGGACCGCCTCTCTCCATAGGAACCAACCCAGGCCCTATGTTCATCACAAGAGGTCCTTTTCTGTGTGACCTCTCACAGTGAGGTGCGGAGGGTGGCAACGTGAGGTTGGGACTTTTTAGTGGTGGCTCCTTGCTTATGGAATTATTGAAAATCAAAATAATGTATACAAAAACACTCAAAATGCTGTAAATAAATCCAGCCTGATACAATCTCACTTTACGCAGCTTGCTTTTCAGAAGATAAGAACAAAAACAAATCAAATTAAAGAAAGGAAAATCCCAATAAGTCTTCCAACATAGTATGCTGAAGTTCAAATTTCAAACATCATTAAAATGTAATCTTATCTACTTCCAAATACTTATATTTGTGGGCATTAAGAGAGTGCCGGAAGAAATATCAACCACCTCAGATATGCAGATGACACAACCTTGATGGCAGAAAGTGAGGAGGAATTAAAGAACCTTTTAATGAGGGTGAAAGAGGAGAGTGCAAAATATGGTCTGAAGCTCAACATCAAAAAAACAAATATCATGGCCACTGGTCCCATCACCTCCTGGCAAATAGAAGGGGAAGAAATGGAGGCAGTGAGAGATTTTACTTTCTTGGGCTCCATGATCACTGCAGATGGTGACAGCAGCCACGAAATTAAAAGACGCCTGCTTCTTGGGAGAAAAGCAATGAGAAACCTAGACAGCATCTTAAAAAGTAGAGACATCACCTTGCCAACAAAGGTCCGTATAGTAAAAGCTATGGTTTTCCCAGTAGTGATTTATGGAAGTGAGAGCTGGACCATAAAGAAGGCTGATCGCCGAAGAATTGATGCTTTTGAATTATGGTGCTGGAGGAGACTCTTGAGAGTCCCATGAACTGCAAGAAGATCAAACCTATCCATTCTGAAGGAAATCAGCCCTGAGTGCTCACTGGAAGGACAGATCGTGAAGCTGAGGCTCCAATACTTTGGCCACCTCATGAGAAGAGAAGACTCCCTGGAAAAGACCCTGATGTTGGGAAAGATGGCGGGCACAAGGAGAAGGGGATGACAGAGGACGAGATGGTTGGACAATGTTCTCGAAGCTACCAGCATGAGTTTGACCAAACTGCGGGAGGCAGTGGAAGACAGGAGTGCCTGTTGTGCTCTGGTCCATGGGGTCACAAAGAGTCGGACACGACTAAACGACTAAACAACAACAACAAGGTGGACTGTCAGTTTAAAAACTAAGCAACTAGTCTTAAGCTTGGTAGTTTTGAAAACTTATAACATTATTTGTTTCTTTTAACATTTATTTTCAACCAGGCTTTTGGCCTTTACCTTGAAGAGCTTTAGATCTTGTGGTTTCCTTTAGTGGGTGGGCTGGGTTGAGCTACCCTTTACATATATGGATATGGATATTTTTTGTTTGTTTGTTTTAAATGTATACTGATTTTAACATTTGTATTATATTAGGGTTGCCATATTTCAAAAAGTGACAATCAGGACAGAAAAGTTGTTGTTGAACATTTTTTGGTAAAGTTGTTGAGATTTTTTTCATCTTGCCCCAAATTGTTCAATTTTTTCTTCTTCTTTCAAAATCTTGGGGGGAAATTGAGGGGAAAAACCAGCAATCTCCACCCGGACACAGCTTCTGACAGCCGATTGCTGGCTTATGTCTGGGAAATTCCGGATGTATGGCAACCCTAATTATATTGTAAGTCGCTTTCAGTTTACTTTTGAGGGGTGGAACCTAATAAGCACATTAATAATAATAATAATAATAATAATTATTATTATTATTTTGCAGATCTCACGTGTACATGGCCTACTCTAGAAACTGGACTATATTGTTGGATATCCTGTATTGCAAGACGCAGGTTGAGACCCAGTGCCACCCCCCTTGCAAGTACATTCATTTGGGGAGGTAGACGGTAGGAGTAAGCAATCTTGCTCCTTCCTCTGAAAGAGTAGAACTCGGTTTGTGATTTGCATTTTCCGCAGTACAAGGAACGCAACAAGTGGAAGGACCCCCCCAATGGTCAATTTCTCCTTGTGTTAAGTCATGCAATGTACATCACTTCCTTCTTCTTTTTTGTTATCCATCTTATTGCCAGTGCCCCCTGCTGGAGAGAAAGAGAATGAGCGTTAGGAAGAAGGCTGTCTCTCACTCAGAGCATGGATAGGTTACGAATTTAAAGTGCTGGTTTGTGCTGGACCATCTTGGCTGTGAGTCCTGGAAGGCCTGCTCCCTGCATTGGGAGGACAGAGCCCTGACTGACTCCAGCTACAAAGGCTGAGGCTGCTGAAGAGGCCACAGACCACCTTGACTGTCTCTTAGGCCATTGAACCTGAGCCGCCATTGGCAGAACTGGCAGCGACAGCGGCAGGTACGTTCTCTGCTTACGATAATATTCTATTCTGTTGTTAATTACGCTGTTTTAAATGTGCATTTTATATTTGACTTCTTTTAGGAAGATTTTCTTTTGAAATGTTTTGAGATTTCGTCGTCGTTAACTTTGCTGCGTTTAACGTACATTCCATCGTTGACCTTTGCAATGTTTTATTTTGAAATCTTTCATATATTTCAGCTTCCTGTTAATTACGTTGCTTTGAATGTATACTTCATATTTTGTCTTTCTTCAATAGTGTTTTCTTCTGAATTGCTTTTTATGACGATTTCCTGCGTTGTCAACCGCTTTGAGATTTTTTTCTTGAAAATGTAAAGCGGTCTAGAGAGGAAACGAATGAATCAAAACATTCTTTTTCCTCATGTCTGTGAAAGAGAGAGAGACATTTCTGCCAGCAATAGCATACATTGCAAAAACTTCTGTCGCAATGTGCTTGCTGGTCTTTTAAGGCACCTTGGGATTTTATGTTGCTTTTGCAACAACAGACTTAGGCAGCCCACCCTCCTAGAAATCTTGCCTGCAGTCGCTGATGGGAGATGGTGTTTGTGTACCTTATTAAACTTTCCAATGGGAGAAGGCTTGGGAAGAAATTGTTCCCAAAGAAGACACTGAGGAAGAGTGTAGACCAGGGGTCAGCAAACTTTCTCAGCAGGGGGCCGGTCCACTGTCCCCCAGACCTTGTTGGGGGCCGGACTATATTTTGAAGGGAAAAAATGAACAAATTCCTATGCCCCACAAATCACCCAGAGGTGCATTTTAATTAAAAGAACACATTCTACTCATGTAAAAATGTGCTGATTCCCGGACCATCTGAGGGCCGGATTTAGAAGGCGAATGGGCCGGATCCAGCCCCCGGGCCTTAGTTTGCTTACCCCTGGTGTAGACTGTGGCTGTGGCACTCTAAAAACACACACAACCCCTGTTAGATGCCCTGGCTTGTTGGACGGGACGGCGGATAAAGAGGCTCGGAGGATGGATGGGGAAATAGGGCGGGGGGCTCTTGGTGGGAGCCAAAGGCATGTCAAGCTGTCAGAGATGCAAAAAGAGATAAATGAATGGCTGGGCTCCAGCATGAATAAATGAACTCTCCTCCTCTTGCTGGGCAAAAGGGTTATATGTGATCCAGAGAGAAAGAGAGCAACAGCCCCCACCTCCAACTCTCCCCATGGGTCCACAGAGTCGGGGGGGGGGGGGTCTGAGTCTATCTGACAAGGGAAGAAGAAGAATGGTGGATGAAATGAACATGGAAGGCTCTGATGGAGGGGGGCTAGCAAAGACCGCTTGAACCTGATGCTTGTGTGGAGGGGAGCCGTTGTGTGTTTGTGTATGAACTGATCACCTGCGCCCTCCCTTGTATTTCATCCCCCTTCTGAATCTGGCCTAGGCCTCTCCTTGCCGACTTGCGCATCCCAGGGTGTTATCTATCCTCAGAGTCTAGCGAAGGATTAATTGTTGTTGTTGTTGTTGTTGTTGATTACCAGCCCTCCACCTTAAGGTTGCAGCCAGGGCAGATTTCAATTAAAAAACAAAGACAGTCGAAAGCAACTTAAAAATCACAGAAATAAGGTGGGTCTTAAAATATAACCACGACCCTTTTTAACCCTTTCTCAGTGCGTTACGGAGCAAAGTCTAGCCCACTCTCCACACCTTGGTATAACTTGTATAAATTCCTCAACCAGAAGCCCTGTTTATTAACTAAGGAGAAGGGCTGCCCATCAATATTATTTCTAATATTACTGTTGTTATGATTGCTGAGTCTGCTCAGCATCTTTCAATAGCAGACTAGTGTTTGGCGTTTCGTTTGGTGCAAAGGAGAAAAGGCGGCAGCGTGCATTAGGCTGAGGCCTCCATCCTTTTGCGAACTCTGTGTGCTTTACTCCCAAGTAGACATTATTGGATTGCCGTTGCTCTTTGAGGCGTATTGGATCTGTCATTCAGACTGCTCTCGAAAGTGATGGATCAGGATGTGTAAGGTAAGAAGGTGGCCTTATAGCTCCAGGAGGTTCCTGATGTCTGCGGCTTATAAGGGTGTTTTAATTCTCCCCAGAGCAATAGGTGAGGCAGCCCTCTCTCCTTGCCAACCACCCCCATAGTTAAATATCCATATTGGAGTCCGGAGGAGAAGGCACAGAACGCAGCGGTGGGCTTCTGGAAATCTTACGGACGAGAGCGGAGCTGGGGTCAGAGGTCGCCATGCTCAGGCATCCGCCAAGGGGCTGCCCCCCTCCCACAGGGGGCCAACTAGCAAGAACTGTGGTGAGGAGGAGGCGGGGGACTGATGGAGGCAGGGGAGGGGGGCATGGAGGGTGCCAATCCTGGCACCAACACCGGGCAAGAGCGAGGGTGTTTGTGTGAATGCATTTGCCTGGGCCCACCTTTGTGGATGCTGTGAGGGGAGGGGGAAGGTGGGATTGTGGGTTTGAAACCAATCTCCCCCCACTCTCCCCCAAGTCCTATCTATTTATCCTTCCATGTGCCTGCACATCTTTTATTTTTTTCCCCACCCCTCCCTTTTCCCCTTTCTCCTCTTTTCTAATTCTTCCTCACTCACCCCCCCCTTCTCCCCTTAGCTCCCGGGCTCCCCCATGCATGAAAAGAGCCCTTATTTAATTTAGTCGCCACGAAAATCGATTCTGCCATTCGATACAAAATAAGAATCAAGCAGATTAAGGGACGGAAATTAACTCTGAAAATATTTTTGATGGAGTGCCTTGTAGTCTCCCCGCCAAATGGACTGCAAAGTGGAACAAATGACGGGCAGCTAGTGCTGGCGACAGGAGCTTTCCATCTTCCCATTATCCACTAATGGGAAAGGTCCCGCTCTCGAGCCTTGGCCCACGGATTAATCACAACCCAGCCTTTATGAAGATTTATTTCTCCTTGCCGGCAGCCCGCGCCGGGATGAAGTCATAACGCTCGGGGGAGTGGAGCGCTCCCCGAAAGGAGGGGAGGAAGTGTTTAGAAAGGAAGAGGAGAGAGGGGAGCCGAAATAAATAAAAAATAAAAAGAGATGCTGGCTAAAAATAGAGGAGGAAGGGGAGGACTGAACAGAGTAGGCCCCGGAGGAGAGGGAGGATAGACTGAAAGCCAGAAATTTATTTCATTTTAAACTTACACCCCGCTTTCCGTATAGACATTTGCGAATCTCAGAGCGGCTCCCAACAGACAGCAAACGATTAAAAAAAATTTATCCATCAGTTAACACATCCACAATTTGAAGAATTAAGAACCTTTATTGTAGTTCGCTTTGGAATGGCTTGGTTGTTTGGTCATTGTAATTTTTAAAAATCCGTTTTGATCATCGTGTATGATGTTGTTGTAACCGGCCCTGGGCGTTCATGGCGAAAGGCGGGCGAGAAATATTATAAATCAGCAAACCACTGCAGGGGTTGAAATGGAAAAAAGAGGAAGAACTCTGTATTAGCCATCCAGGGGGGATTGAAAGGGGTTTAACTCAATGCAAAAGGAGCCCATCCTCGGAGCTCACCTGATCTCCGTGGGGAACTCATTCTGCAAAATGGAAGCCATGAAGTAAAAGTCACTTCTCTATGAACTCCAACCAACCAATAGATGGTGGTTGTCAGGAAGGCCCCCGCCCCACATACTTCACAGTGACCAGGCCAGAGGGGCTGGGCTTGTATACACCCCATACATGGCTTCCCCCAAAGAATCCTGGCAGCTGTAATTTGTTAAGGGTGCTGGGAATTGTAGCTCTGTGGAGAGTGAACTACAGTTCCCAGAATTCTTTGGAGGAAACCACACTGTTTAAACATGTGGTGTTGATTCAGTTTGCTGGGGATTGAGACAGTGGCGAATGAGTTTCTTCAGGGTATTGTAGTGTTAGACACATCTTCCTCCTCAGACATGAGCAATTTCTTGACCTATCCCACTTTGTTTTGGAAAAACCCAGTGATATATTGGTGCAGTAGTAAAAGCAGGGCAGGGCGCCCACTTAGGTGTTGCCCCAAAGAGGACACGCCTCACCCAAAAAAAGATGTACCGGAATTGCAAAAAATGTGCATGTGGTAATTTATTTGCCATATGCAAATTTGGAAATATTTATTATTATTTAAACTGGAAACTAGCTAACCCTAGTGGGAAAGGCTGTGAACAGGTGAGGCCAGGTGTTGGGCCACTTGCTCTCAGTTCTCATCGTTCTTTATCTGTGGACCAAAGAGCCCATTTGCAAACAGAGGACTGCCCTCTGTAAAGTGGGATATGGCCGCCTCAGGGTCAGGCAGTTGCAAGCACCTAGCCCTGAAAAGGACTTTACCTAGAGCAGGGGTGGGGGGCCTGTGACTTTCCATATGTCATTGGACTCCACCTCCCATCAGCCCCAGCCAGCATGGCCAAGGGTCAGGGATGATGGGAAGTGGAGTCAAGTAGGAGGCTATGTCTGAATGCTGCCCCCATATAAAACAACAACCTCTCTGCAGATTATTATTACTATTTTTTTGGAGGGGGCACACATTCAGGAGCAAGATTGTAGCCCAGGCCTCTCCCTGCTGCGCTGAATTTTTAAATATAGGGAGCAATAGAAAAGTGAGCCCCCATTTGTAGGCTATAGCAGCACAGTCCACTCTGTAATTACATAGCTCCTTTAGCTCATTCCTGCCCAATTCTGAAGCTTGTGTAAACCAGGAGAGAGTCTGTGGTGGTGTTTCAAGGGTTGCCAGAAGTCTGCACTGCCTGCCTGGGCCTGGTATGTGCATGGCTTAGTGGCAATGTTACGTTTTGTTTAACTTGCATGGAGTCCTGCAATCCCAGTTCAGACAGCCTAATCAACTGTCTCAGAATCCCCATTCTGTTTCATATGTGTAGACCAGGCCCCACATAATACACACAATGAGGTGATGGAATCTGCTTCCATCGCCAACTCCTCCACCTCACCAAACCTCTTTCCCTCTAGCCTTGCCACTCTCCACTGACCTCATAGACTTTCCACCTCATGGTGCCTCTCATTATGCTATAGTTTTAAGCGCCACCTGCCTGTGGCCAAGCAAACTGCAGTGTGATGACGCGCTTACCATTTTATTATATGCAATAGATAGCATTTCTAAATGTATATGTGTGAACGTGTTTGTATCAGCATATGCAAATTTTGTGCAGCTCTCTGCCTTTGGGGGGGGGTTGATGCATGAGGAGCTATCTGATCTGCACCTGGGAAGTGTGTCGTTGCTGATTGGCCAGCAGTATTCTTCATGGGAAAAGGCCAACGATATAACTGGCCTACACAGGTCTCTGCAGGACGGTCAGCAGCCATATGGCAGCATGATGCCTCCTGCGACATCTTCTACTAAAGATGTGGGGTTTTCCCCGAGTCCTACCTGTTACACCACTTTGCAGACCTTTGGGGGCAAGGGAGGCAGATGAACCATAATCTCCAAATCCACAGCTTTCATGAAAAAGAAGAGTACGTTTCTAGCATTTGTGGAACCTGAGATATGAGGCAAAATGTGCATTATTATTCTCATTTGTCTGCTTGTTTTACTATGCCCCCACCCCCCCAAAAAAATCTATGAGGACACCCATTCCCTCATTCTGTGTAATGTTTTCAATTGCAGCTGCTTGCTCTGTTAGCAAATGCTTCCTCCCATTTTGCTGGAGAGTTAGGAGCATTCCTCCAGTTTTCACACCCCATTTCTCCAGAGGGGGGGGTACTAAGACGAAAATAACTCTAGAATTAGAGGGCCCAAGCATTCCCATACTTAGTTGATCTTGTTACCTACAACTGGGGCTTAGTTAATTTCTAAAACAAGGTGCTGAAACACATCTGGAATACAGTGGTACCTCAGGTTACATACGCTTCAGGTTACGTACGCTTCAGGTTACAGACTCCGCTAACCCAGAAACAGTGCTTCAGGTTAAGAACTTTGCTTCAGAATAAGAACAGAAATCGGGCTCCGGCGGTGCGGCGGCAGCAGGAGGCCCCATTAGCTAAAGTGGTGCTTCAGGTTAAGAACAGTTTCAGGTTAAGAAGGGACCTTCGGAACGAATTAAGTACTTAACCTGAGGTACCACTGTAAAGTACTTGGAACAAAAAGTCCTGCTCCTAATCTCACTACAGAGAACTGGTGCTGGTTACTTGAAGGTAAACTCTGCACATGCACAGGCTCACCCTTGGCTTGTTGTGCCTTTGAAAAGAGCTTGTTGTTCCTGCATTTTAAACCCAGGCCTCCCTCCCAAGAAGCATAGGGCACATGGATGCAACAGTGTCCTCACAACAGCCTTGCGAGGCAGGCCAGGCTGTGACCAGCCCAAGGTTACCCAGGGAGATTTCTGGGTGACTGGAGACTTGAACCTGGTTCTCCCCCGTCCGAAGCGCAGTACCCTAACCACTATGCAAAACTACCTCTTGGGTTGCATGCGATCGCCTTGGTCTCGGCCCTTTTGCCTTTTTAAAGTCCTTCTTCTCCCCCTCCCTCATTTACCTGGTCAGAGCCTCTCCCCACTTTCCCTTCTGCTCTAAGAGCCTGTCTGCAGCCCGCCTGTAGCTGATCAATGGCTTATTGCTAGCTATTTGCTCCCCCTTCATTTCTCCATCCATCCCTCAAATCCCGCCAGGATCAGAGAAACGGATGGGTCTTTAAACAGATCCCGTAATGTACCAGATGTCCCCAGCCCTTGTTCCATACTCTATCATCCCTCTCTCCCCCTTCTTGCTCCAAGAACAACGGGTCATTTTTCTTGCAGGTGTCCTTCTAAATTTCCCCCTCTCCTGGACAGCGATTCCGCCCACTAGCTGTCTTCCGGGCTGAAACCTGCTAGGGCAGGGTTGCCACCTTTTCCAGCTGGTTCTGAGCTTATGCCTTTTGCAGCCTGACACTCAGGGAGACAGGGCTGCTTTTCTATCTCCTTGTCAGGAAAAGCTTTGCCTTGCTTGTTAAAATTTATTTAAAATACTCGTTGGCTGCCTGCTCGGGCCGGGCCCTCCCAAGGCAGAATCCAAAATATAAATCCCTGATATGAAATCGATACTGGTTTTAAAGCCATAGAACATCATAAGAATAGAACAGATAATACCATGAAGAGGGAATAATATCAGGCCGCAGGAATAATATTGGGGCCTGCCAGTGTGCCAAGATCACCTGCCCCCTTCAAATTTATATACACTGGTACCTCAGGTTAAAAACTTAATTCATTCTGGAGGTCCGTTCTTAGCCTGAAATTGTTCTTAACCTGAGGTACCACTTTAGCTAATGGGGCCTCCTGTCGCCGCACCGTCGCCGCACGATTTATGTTCTCATCCTGAAGCAAGTTCTTAACCCGAGGTACTATTTCTGGGTTAGCGGAGTCTGTAACCTGAAGCGTCTGTAACCCAAGCTACCACTGTAGTACCTCGGGTTAAGGACTTTATCTCAGGATGAGAACAGAAATCGCGGGGCGGCAGCGGAAGGCCCCATTAGCTAAAGTGGTACCTCAGGTTAAGAACGGTTTCAGGTTAAGAACGGACCTCTGGAAGGAATTAAGTTCGTAACCAGAGGTACCACTGTACTTAAAACGGGGTGCTGTACATGGTTTTGTTGCTGTTGCTTTTGCTTTTGCTTTTGTGTGGTTGTTGTTTGTTGTTAACTAAATTTGTATGCCACCCTTCATCCAAAGTTTACAACATAAGAATACAAAACGAAAACACAAAATACATAATAAAACAAAAGTGAAACAAACCAATATACCCCCTCTCAGTCACATTAAAAGGACCACAGAATGTTAATCAGCCAAAGGCCTGGTTGAAGAGGAACATTTTCATCTGGTGCCTAAGGATATGTAATGAAGGTGCCAGGCAAGCCTCCCTGAGGAGAATATTCCACGAATGGGGAGCCACCACAGAAAAGGCCCCTTCCTGTGTTTGGTTGCCTGTGGGGTTGTTGTTTATCTGTCAATTTTATTTATTATTTAATTATTTAAAATAGGTTAGGCTGAGAGACTATGACTTGCCCAAGGTCAGCCAGAGCATTTCAGGACTGAGCTAGTCCAGCACTCTAACCATTATACCACCTTTGCAGATGTTTTGCCTGTTACGGTGAAGAGAGGTTGGCTCTGAGCATCGCCAGATGTTCTTCTGTGAAATGGGTACTTTTGATGCCCGTGGCGGTTTCTTAGATTCCCCGATGTGCCCCCAGGCCCAAAAGTGTTGTGGACCCCTGCTGCAGTGAAAGTTTTTTTTTTAAATAGGTTGCA